TTATGCATCAAATCTACGATTCTATGGACGAATCAATCACAAGACAATCGGGTGTACTGAAGATTAGTACTCCCAAATCTAACATATGGAAATAGAGCGGAACTACCCTCTATTTCCGCCTAACTCTATTACAATTTGGCCGTCAAAGAACCCCGTATCTTAACACAAAAGCCTAGTGTATGACCGTTCATTTGGCGCAACGCCGACTGGTATAGACGGTAAGTTTGATGCAAAGACGTTGTTGCTATCATATCTAGTTTCTGCGGTTGCAACGTCACGTTCGGTGTTGTGACAAACCAACACCACGGTCGACCGTCGGGCAACGGTTGCCCTGGCAACAGTCGCTCGACAACATTGCAACACTCGGTCAAGTGTCGCGACCGTCCGAGCTCTTGAAGAGCACATGAGCAACTCGGAACGCCGAGTTTCGACTGTTTGTCAAGGCTGGTACAATGATTTCTACGGCAATGGACCGTCAATGATTCCGCCGGAGTGTTCCGAACATTCCAGAAGACAAATCTTCAGATCGTGGATGTGAGCGGTTGGCCAGCTTGAGCGAACTTGCGCTGGCAAGATAACCCGTGATACCCTAACGGCAGCAATGTGCGGAAACCATGGTGGCAGACATTCTCAGTGGTTGAAGCGCTTGGAGTCTGTAAGAATGTTGTCTTTCTGCTCAAGGTCCAGTTCTGCTTGCTGGTTGGGAACTCGCACTTCGAATGATCCCCGCAAGGTTCTGTGTCTTGTTCCAGTTAGTACTTCAATGCCAAGTCTTGAATCGTGGAGAGCCTGCTTCGAGGAGTGCCCTTAGGCGACTCGTAGCCGCATCCAGTCATATCCAAGACAGCTCTGCCATGCACTCGTCCGATTGCATACTACGACCACATAGTAGAGTGCCATGCACCATGCCAAGCAATCCTGGTCATCCCGTAGACTGGCAAGATCATGCTATGGACGTGAACGTCACATCACTGACTACTAAGCATACTTATCTTGCACTCTACGAACTAGATTCAATGGCGTAATTCATCAAACTTGCATTAACTACGTCCCTCACATCAATACTGTGCTCATATGCCGCAACCTAGCACACGCGCGAACCCGAAGGTTAACTTTACTGATGACGATGTGTGGTTAGACTTAACCATAGCCCATCTCTCACAGTGGACCGATGCTTGACCAGCTGATCATAATTTTCAAACATTCTAGGCGCCGATAATGAAAAGATGATCCGGACGGCGCATGTCGACTCAAAACTCGACGACGTCGCCTTTGGCTGGCTCTTGTCGAAGCAGCTTCGTATCATTTCATTCTCTGTTCAAAACAAGCGCAACTTGAGTTCAACTTGGTGACACAGGGGTGACACTAAGCTTTAGGCTTTTAGGATTCAGTATTTAGGCTGTTGGACTTAAAAAGTAGGAGAGTACTACTTTCTACTACTAGTAGAAGGGACGTTATGACGATTCAATTCCGAAACTTGTGAAAGGCAACGTTACAGTGTGACGATTGGGCTATGGTTAAGTCTAACCGCTCAAATGCACATGGTTAAATCCGTGGTCGCCTTGCGACACGTGGCAAGTGAAGTCCACTGTCGAGTTGTGACACGTGGCAAGTGTCGCAGTAATGTTCGATAATAATTATTATTGGGTATGTCAATAGTAGCATAAGTAGAGCTACTAGACTAGCATGGAGTCTTGCATGACCAGGATTGCTTGGCAAGGCGCAGGACGCTCTACTTTGAAGTCAAAAGTATGCTCTTTGCCACACTGGAAGGACGTTATGAAGATGACTAGATGCAGCCATGGGCTCTGCAGGCCCAAGTTTACACTCTCTACGATTCATGATTGACTGAATGCAGGCAGAAACAAGACTCTGGAATCTTGAAGGATGTCTTGAGGGACTTGTCCAACAAGAGGACATAAGTTGTCTTGGGCAGAAAGACGATAATTTTTCTGAGCTGCGCCATCGCTTAAAAACGCCTGCTTCCATGGTTTCCGAGTTTCCGCACATGGTTGCTGATCGTGTCATGTTAGTAACCTAGCCCGCTCTTCGCATATAGCTGGCAATTATCACAGTGATTAACTATTTCAGCTCTATGCTTGAGGTGCAAATCAATGAAAAGGTGTCGCAACAACGTCCCTACAACGTCAAGTTCGAAGAACTTTGCAATGCTGCCGGCAATCCGACGGGCACCCGTGAGTCCGTTCATTGCATGCCCGACGGTTGCGTTGATTGAACCACCGGCCTGGAGTCGAGTGTCACCGTCCGACACTCAGAAGAAACTCGGAGTCTGCACATCTGTCTGTAACCGGCCTGCCAGTGAAGGGCCTTTGAACCCCAATTTATACTTACTGGATTACTGCCTATATAGGCTTTGTAGTCTCACAATATGCCGCCCGGCGGGTACGTACGAGCGACCTCTCAACATATCAGTAGTAATGATATATCATACCGGCTCGTCACGTGACGGTGTGCCAGTGTTTGACTGAAAGTACTAGCCGCCTCTACTGTAGCGACCGCGGCTAGCTACTAGTCTAAGGTTTATAAGGTACTAGGCTACGGTATCACCTCGGCTCCACCTCGGTATACTCGGTATATCGGTATACCGGTAAAACGGTATATTCATTCCGGTTAGCTATTTCTAGGCCCTATTTCCCGATTTCTGCTCGAGTCACTGGTTTGCGGCCTGGCCCTACGGTAATGACCTAAAAGTAAAACCCCAAAACCAGGGAACACCGGAAAACCCAGGAAAACCCTAAAAGAATAAAAAGAAGTCTTGGACATGCAAGCCTGCGCTGCGAAGTGTCGGTTATCAGAACCGTTCTGGTTCTGTTTAGGTAGACCGTACCTACGGTAGATTCGAAGGACAACATTGGGTACTTACACAAATCTCAGGTACCGTGAGACTATGTCATAGTCACCGGATTGTATGTGGCCGGGCCATGGATGGTACAATCTTATACAATCAGGGCTGCTCTTATAAATGATACTTGATTGTATGCCTGATTGTATGCTGGACCAATATTCACCAGAAATATCGGAATTTGAAGGAATAATCGAACTAAAGCTTGGGTTTTGGGCTCGTTGTTACCTTCAGATGACTATCTAAGAAATCTGAGCCGTCCGATGAAGTAAAATTGGTGGATAAAGAAGAAAACAAGCCCTCCGCCTCTGTCTGATAACATTTGCACATACACTCGCAGTACAATCAGAATTTTGCTCTGCTATGGATGGTGTACAATTGGTACCATCGACCGGTCCGCCATGGATTGTACAATACACAATCCGGTGACTAAGCCGTGAGTACATGAAGCGGAGAAATGTCGCAGATGCCCTAGGTACCCAGTCAGCACAGGATTCTCTGTCAGCGAGATTCCACAAACGCCACGGTTGCCCGCTGAATCTTGGATCTTTTCGCGGGAAGTCCGATCAGCTGACGAGTCCCGAGTCGGAGTCCGCTGCGGTGGACGGTGGGCCGCCCGGTGATTGCCTTTCCGAAGCCGGCGAAGGGTGCTGTCGAATGTTGAAGTCACGAGAGGCTGGTCGGGCCGACGGGCCCGCTTCCTCCGGTATCTGAGCCCATCTTCGATCGCCGGAAAGGCCAATACCGTATGGCGTACCCGGGGGGCCGGTGCACCCATCTCCAAGGATCAGACTGGCGGCCAGTGCAGCCGAAGTAAAACTGCAGTGTGCACAGGCAGGACAGCTTTTGCAGGCTGCCTACCATACCGTAGAGACATTGTCCATTCGCACCACCTTGGTGCGAATATTATTTATGAACGTTTTGTCATTTCGCACCAGCATCGACGATATTATTAAAATTTTCGCTTTTTCCAAATTTGGACTTTTAAGTTTTTAAAGCCCCATTTTGCAGGTTTTTTGGCTTCTTCAGATTTTATTTTTTATTCGCATTTTCGCACCTGCGTCGAAAGTAATAAAACTTTTTTGGCAAGCCCTAAAAATAATTATTTTAGTGCGAATGGACAATGTCTCTACGGTAATTCCGAATCCAAGGTCCAAGTTTCCCGTTTCAGTGTTCGATCCAGGCTTCAAACAACGAACAGCTTCCCTCTGATCCCAAGAGCTTTATGTAGGTCTTCCAGAGGTCTCTTCAGGTTTGCAAGACTGTGTCAATCCATTCCGCTTGGGCTTCGCTGGCAGCTGGCAGTCATCGAGTTGCATTAGCCGCTCCTTCACGGGTGTGATTTTGAGCAGCTCTCCGCGCGCTGGTTGTAGCGCCCACATTGTGTGTTGCTTGCGCTTCTGCTGCCCTGATCTGGGCGCCTCCTGCTGCCGGGATGGCTTTCGGCATGGAGCAGGTGGCTGGGTTTGCAGCAGATATGCAGTGCATCTCATCTATGTGGTTCCGCAAGATCCAGGGGGGCACCCACAAGGAGCGCCTGGAGAGCTTCTATGGGCCTCAAGCGCACGCCTGTGAGATCCCTGCTACCTGCCTCCATGCCAGATCTGGTCCCTCTGCTGTTGCTCTGTCTCCTCAACATTCTTGTGTACCACCCTTGTCCCAGATCTGGCGTGCACTGATTGGGTTGAGGTGCTTTCTCTCGTGCATTGAGGTGCCACCTTTGTCGGCCAGGAGCGCCTCTCAGCTCGGTGTCCCTCCCCTCCGCAGATGACCGCTTCCGCGCCAACTTCCTGCACGGCCGCAAAGGCATGCTGGCGGCGTGCGCTGCGCGGCTGCGGGGAGCGTCGGGGCTGGTGTGGGTGGACCTGGGCGGGGGCACCGCGGAGAATGTGGACCTTATGGCGCAGTACCTGGACCTGGCCGCCTTCCAGCGCATCTACGTTGTGGACATCTGTCCGTCGCTGTGCGCCGTTGCACGCGAGAAGGTGGCGGCACGCGGGTGGCACAACGTGGAGGTTGTGGAGGCAGATGCGTGCACCTTCCGAGCCCCTGACGCTGCACAGCTCATTACCTTCTCCTACTCCCTTACCAGTGAGCAGCTTAAGCCTTGGCAGCCCCCAGCGGCATATCCTGCCAAGATCTGTGTCCTGCGTGGATCCACTTTGTGTCTACCTGAGATTTCGGAATTGGGTCTACATGAGGTTCTCGCTGCCAAATTGGGGGATGACAAGGTGGAGTTATTTGTTTTAGCAGTAACTCCTTCCATTCTCCTCCTCTTGTTATGGCAAGGAAAGTCTCGGCCGCTGCCTGTGTGTGCTCACTGGCTGCAGTGTGTCCCAAACCTTGCCTGCTCTGCTGGTGCAGTGATCCCACCGTTCATGGCGGCGGTGGACAATGCGGTGGCGGGCCTGGCGCCGGACGGCATCGTGGGTGTGGCCGACTTCTACACCTCCGCCAAGTACGACACGCCTAACCGGCAGCATCCGTTTGCGCGGCGCTGGTTCTGGAAGGCTGTGTTTGACTGCGACGGCATCGACCTGTCCCCCGAGCGGCGGCACTACCTGGAGCACAGCATGGAGCCGGTGTACGAGTACAACAGCAGCGGGCGCATCCCGTACGTGCCGTACCTGCGCGCCCCGTACTACATCTGGGTCGGCCGCCACAAGAAGCTGCAAGGTGAGGCTGGCAGGGGCAGGGCCAGGTGATGGAGGCTGCACTGAGATCTGCTCCCTGCATTTGATCATCACTTGCGTTGGATTTCGCAATCTCCCATTGTTTGGGACCCTTCGCAGCATAACAATCACTTGGACACTTGTAGGGATGGCAAGTGAAATTGCTCATCCAGGTTCAAAAGCCACACACCGCTAGATCTGGTGGGTGATTGTGCAGATTGATATGGTCCAGATTGTCAATTGATAATTCATACCGTGTAGGGCCCTTTGGGTGCAATCACCGGGTAGTCTGTCCTTGTAAACAGCTTTATTATCTCTCCGCTGGTCTAGTGCTTTTCTGCTCAAGAACCACGTTTGTTTTTTCTACACCTTGAATAATGGCAAAACTGAGAAAATAGGTGCGTCTTGGACGATTGGTGCATTCCAAGCTCCTTAATGAAATACCCGCCGACATCTACTTTGCCTTCAGATTGAGCTCTTGGAGATGATATTACACCGTCCGTCTTGCCCGTGCTCCCAGAGCCGTGGGCCTTGCCTCCCTCATGGCCCCGGTCCCCTGATCGCTCCCCCCCCTCTGCGCGCAGTGGTGAACCTGACGCGCTTCCCGGTGCGCGCCACGGATGACATTGAGTGCCGGCGCCCCAAGGGCTTCCCCCCCACCTTTTTGTACAGCCTGTCCTGGGAGGACCCGCGCGAGGACGCCAAGGTGCTGGACATCAACCCCAACGACACCGTGCTCACCCTCACCTCCGGCGGCTGCAACGCGCTTGACATCATCCTGCAGGTCAGTGCCGGGGGCATGCGATGCTCGCGCCTGCGCGCCATGCCCTGCCCCTCGCAGCCTGCCCCTCCCTCTTGGCCCCCTTCCCTTGCGGTCCTTGGCCTGCCCCGGTGCTGTGCTGAGCGTGTGGCGGTGGCGCGTGCAGGGCGCGCGGTGCGTGGTGGGCGTGGACATGAACCCGGCGCAGAGCTACCTGCTGGAGCTGAAGCGCGTGGCCGTCATCCGGCTGCCGTTTGAGGACGTGTGGAAGATCTTTGGGGAGGGCCGCCACGAGCGCTTTGAGGAGCTGCTGCAGCGCGAGCTGGGGCCCTTCCTCAGCCAGGGCGCACTCAAGTTCTGGTGAGGGCGCGCTACAACACAAGCAGGAGGGGTGGAATGGAAATTCAAGGTTATCATCGGATAGACGCTGCTGTCTGGCCTTGCCAGCAACTGCAGTGCTGTGCCCTGCCCCTTCCAGCCCATGTGTGCTGCCAGTGTGTGCCTGCAAGCCCTTGTTGCGGGCACGCGTCCCTTGACCAACACCAAGTGCCTCGTTCCTCCGCCTCCGGCACTGTGTGGTGGTGAACAAGGATCGCTGCGGCATCCCCATTCTCTGGAGTAGCCTGTCCAGTGGAGGGTGGCTGTCTGAGGGTGCTCGCTGGTCCTCCTCTTTGGGGCATCTCTGACGCGTTGGGCGCTGCTGCGTGTGCGCAGGCGCAAGAAGGCGTACTACTTCAAGGACGGCATGTACTACCATGGGGGCATGGGCCGCCTGGTGAAGGCCGTCAAGGTGCTGGCCAAGATCACGCGCAAGGAGGACTGGGTCGACTCCCTGGTCAACGCGCCCACCGTGGAACAGCAGCACGAACTCTGGTCAGCGCGCCTCCCGCTCTTCCCCTCCCCTCAACCCCATGCCACTGCGATGCCTGTGCGCCTGGCCTACTTGAAAACCCGTGGGCCGGCAGATCAGGCTCTTACTTGGTCCCACTGCCATCACAACGCGCACAAGTCAAAAGCGGCGGGCTCTCTCGATCACTCTGGAGACATTATTACACGACCTTACTTGCAGTTTTCTCTTCAACCACTTTTCGTAAGAACCGTGCTAGCCCCTGAGTCAGTGTTTAAAAGACGTGAAAGATCTCATAGGCCCCCCTACCTGGCTGCGCCTCACGAGCAGGTAGCCCCACGTCTGTTTCTTGGCTCTGCGGGGACTTCTCTAAGCACCCCCGCGGCGGATGCTCCACCTGCCCGCAGCCAGACAGCCAACATGGGCTTCTCCCCACTCTACCCCGTCACCCTTCTTTTGTTCACTTCGGTCTGGGAGCCCCACAACTGTCCCTTTCTCTACCTAGGCAGCCCCGCTCACGCTGCCTTCCTTGTGAAGGTGTTTGTGCTGGACCAAGATTGGGGTGGTCACTGTCGTCGCCCTCTGCCCTCTCGTTCTCGCCTCTGCCTCGCCCCCTCTGACGTGGCGTGCGCTGTGTGCAGGACTGCCACCGCGGGGCAGTGGCTGATGCGCGCGGGCGTCATGGCGCGCGCGCTGGGCTTCCTGGTGACGAATCGCGTGACCATGTGGTTCTGCGCGGGCGTGTGCAAGAGCCAGATGGCGCTCATCAAGAACGAGGACAACATCTACAGCTACATCGTGCGCTGCCTGGACAACGTGGCCAAGTACTCCAACCTGCGCGACTCCAACTACTTCTACCGCCTCTGCCTCACCGGCCGCTTTGCGCGCCACTGCTGCCCGCGCTTCCTGGAGGAGGACTGCTTTGCGCGCCTCAAGCACGAGCTGGCCGCGGGCGAGCGGCTGCTCATCCGCACCGACAGCTTCGTGAGCCAGCTGTGCGCGCGCCAGTACACCAAGGTCATCCTCATGGACCACGTCGACTGGCTGGACCAGCCCGACATCGACACCCTCGCCGCCGCGCTCAAGGCGCAGGTGCGCCCCGGCGGCCGCGTCATCTGGAGGAGCGCCTCCAAGCAGCCCCACTACGCGCGCGCCATCGAGGCAGCCGGCTTCAAGGGTGAGACTTCCCTCCCCCCATGCTGCGCTGGCGCCGCCTTCATGTGGACACCGCCCACCTGCCTCAGCTCTGGTGCCTCGCAGTCGGTGCCACCCCCGCTCGCCCTTTCCTTGCTCCTCCCGGATGGGGGCCTGCGCCCGGTGCCCACTGCTGTCTTGCGGCGCGTCCTGCGTGGGCGCCGCAGCCCACTCGGCCGCGGTGCTGCGCTGCCCATTGCTGACGTGGCTGCGCGTGCTGTGTGCAGTGATCCGCGTGCGCTGCAGCGACCAGTACATGGACCGGGTCAACATGGTGAGCGGCGGTCTCCGCGCCCTCCCGGCCCCCTCTCTTCGCTCCTCTGCAAGACAGTGCCTGCTTTTGCAAGTCCCCGAACAGCGGGTCTTGGCCTGCACACCGTACTTGGCGGCTCAGCTGGCACGATCCCTTGGCTGATCACCGCTGCTAACGTTCGTATCGCGTGTCCCTGCCTCTGTTTTGCGGTGGCTGGCCGCCCTGCGCTGACTCGGTGCTGCGTGGCTGCGTGCAGTACGCGAGCTTCTACGTGGGCATCCGGCACGGTGGCCCCGCCATCAAGCAGCTGGTACAGGAGGAGAAGCTGGACAAGCCGCTGCGCTTCCGCGGCGCGCCCCCCGCCAAGCAGAACGGGCCCACCCCGGTGGCCGCAGCCTGAGGCGCGCAGGTGGGCAAGGGAGCCTGCGGAAGAGAGACGGCAGGTCAACGCGGAAGACGGGCAGCCAGAGCGAGCAAAGGGAATGTTCGGAAGCAAGGTGTAAAACCGTGTAGGTACAAGCGCTCAGAGCAGGGAGCTGCATCCAGGTCAATCATTCGCGGAGAACAGCGTTAAGTTAAGATGCGGGCTTGGTCACCGGCGAGCGCGTTGTCTGCTGTCGTTGGGCGTTCAGTGTTTGAGGGTTGCGAGCGAAGTTGGTCTGGTCAGTACCTCAGCCCTAGGGGTTGAATGAGAAGATTAAGCTTACAGAGCAGTCCGTGAAGATAGGTCAGAGTGAGTGTTGACTTCTTACTCGTCGAAGTAGCCATTAAAAGAATTCAATATCGAACAGCTTGATGCAAGTCAAGGATTTATCTCGGAGACGATGTTTGTTGCTTGTCAAGATTGTAATCATAGAGTCGCAGGTCGACTATGGTGGGCCATGATGGCTCGTTCGTTCTAGACGATTGTTGTCCCCCATTCGACGCACGGTGGTCCGAATTTGTCGATATGCTGATTGAACCAGTCTCCGCCGCCACTACTGAGACCTTGTGTGTGCAGATTCACAGCACGTCTATCTACAAACCAAACAGATCAAGTTCCCGCCATCCAAACAATTAACCTTTTCACGAGCAAGTACAATAGCTTTTTGGATCGACTTCATTAAAGAGGGCGCGTGTCCTGTGACCCGCAATGCCTGACTTAGCCGCGTATGGTGGTTTTCAATTGCATGGAAAGTTGGCAAAGTCACTCAAATGCAGTTCCAGAGCTTGAGTATCTAGCTCCGTCAGCATGCATGCATCCATTTCCGCAAGGCCCTCTTCAAGGTTCGTCAGTCTATACTACCAACCCGGCTCGTGAACTCTCGAATTTCAAATCGGAAGCATGCCACTCCTCCTAGCACACTGGCAAATTTGCTCGACTAGTTCACCGAGAATGGGAGCGATCGATACTTAAAACACGGTCGCGAGGCAACTTTCTCCTTTTCCTCGGCGCGCCAGGCAAATTCGATGGTTGGTCTCTAAAACCGGCGTCGGGTCACACGTGAAGCAATTTTGACTGATCTTATTGTAAAAAGCTATTTAGCTCTAGCTAGTTGATTATACGGTGTTGTAGTCTATATGAT